CTAACCCATAAGCAGCTACCCACTCCAACTCAATCTCATCACTACCCACTTTTCATGTTTGTCATAACCTCCCACTCATTCTCTTTCTCCAATTTCCATTCTCTCTTTTTCATTCCTAACCTTCCCTTTTGCTCTCTCATCTTCCATCTCTCTAACATAAATACATTATGTTCTCAGGACCAAGAGAATTCTTCAGGCAGTTTCAAGACTTTTTTTTGAGGGATTCACAATACATAAACCAAAAGATTAGATGAGAGAGGGATTCACAATCCTTCCTGCTTTATTTTCTTGTTTAATAGAATATTAATTTTTTTAATTCAACAAACATGATTCCTTCAAATCAACTCCTTGCACCTAGATCTCTTTTAAATTCCTCCACTAACCCATAAGCAGCTACCCACTCCAACTCAATCTCATCACTACCCACTTTTCATGTTTGTCATAACCTCCCACTCATTCTCTTTCTCCAATTTCCATTCTCTCTTTTTCATTCCTAACCTTCCCTTTTGCTCTCTCATCTTCCATCTCTCTAACATAAATACATTATGTTCTCAGGACCAAGAGAATTCTTCAGGCAGGTTCAAGACTTTTTTTGAGGTTATATGGGAACTTTGATTACTTTTCTTCACTGGTCATTATACATGTTTAGATATTTTCTTGTCAAGTATTTTACATTAAACAAGTTTTAACATCCTTGAACCTAATAATAAGTTATATTTTTGGTTGGATAATCGTGCATCGTATGGCACTCCCACTAGTAAACTACATAAGCATATCATTTATTGCCGAAGATAATCTTCTTGGAATTGCGTCCAAGACCCAAAACAAAGAAATACCGAGCAAGATACTATGTGTCAAATCTATAATATAAAATAGGACATGTTTCAATAAGCCTATCCAACGGTCTCAAATAGACTCATCCAACTATCACATCCCTCTCAAAACTATTCACATTCCACCTTGCCTTCAAGCACCGATTACCCCTAATTTATGTCATAATTCAGGACATTTCAACATCAAGATCAATCCAGCTTCTGTGGCTATGATACACACATTGCACAGTCTACAAGAAGATCACACCCAATATGCACAGGGTTTGAAAAAGGTCCAACAGGAGCATAGTTATCGGACCTAAATTGGATTGGTTGATCCAACTGATGAATAAGTGGATTAGTGTTTTTACAAAAGTTCAAGTCCGTTAAACCATTCAATATTATGAACTGCAGCAATCTGTTTGACTGATACAGTTATTTCTAGAATCTGCAAAGGTTTGGATGACCCAAACATCCTTAATCTGTTGTACAGAAATTCTCAGAAAAGGGTGCAAAGGGTAGTAATTGGGTTCTGGTTCACTCATGATAACAAAATCTGACTACCACTGAGTCACAATTGTATGCCATACTATAGTTATATCCACACAATCTCTTAGAAATTTTGATATGCAGACATTCAATACATAGAAGCATGTGTGTGTGTGTGTGTTTCATACTTACCATTCACATTGAAAAAAGTAAAAGTTATGCATAAAACAGAGAAATACCCTGAAAATCAAACACAGCCACACATATGTTCTGGTTTAGTGCTTATCACACACATGCACGTGATGAATGCAAGCATGTGGTTTACGAGTAACAAAGTGTAACTATGTATTTATCAGATCAATCAGCTGAATCAGTGTTCCAGTCATTACATAAGGTCATCTAATGCCATGCTTAGAGTGACATGCAAATAAACCCTTTCATGTGTCTAAGGCAGTATATTAACAATCTGTTTATGCAATTTCAGAAAGAGAACCAAAACAAGACAGGCGCATACTGCTCTCATGTTTGCATAGCTAGGATCCAAGTTGGGCACTTCAAGGCCGCGTAAAGCACTATTTAACCACTCACATGCTTCAATATTTTGAAGCATGCGTGCTTCATCAAATGAGCCTCCTGTTAGACATGCTGCATACTGCAAGAAACAACACATTGTGAAAAGATAGGGACTAACTAATGTGACAAAATTAAATGCATACCTTAAATTCAGAATGAAAGTATGTGGGGACACCTCTGAAGGAATTCGCAAGCTTTCAAGGAGCTTATCAAGTTCTTCAATCAAGGATTTATTATTTACGGACTGCATTTCCAGCTTGTTATTGCGAGTCTCTATCTGTGTATCACAAGGAAATTTATTTCATGTCAACACAAGAAGGCCATGCTCAATTTCTCCTTCGGAAAGGCTGCCTATTATGCAAATGTATCATTAATGCAAAGTGAAAACCGTTTTACAGTTAATAGAATGATTACTTTTCTGACTGACCATTTTGGAAGATCAAATTAAAATCCAAGTCGTTCAGCAATCAAACTGATTTTCAGTTAACAATTAATCAGTTCCTTCTCTCTCGTTCTATATCCGTAAACAAAGAATGAGTTGCTTTTTTCTCAAATAATTCCATTTGAATGTCTGTATGAAACAGGTGATAAAATGCACTAATTACACCTCAGACAAACACAAAAACAAAAACAAAATTATAATGTGTGAAACAGCTATTGTGGTAAGATGATTAGAATGTTTGAGACCCAAATATAGGCAGAGAGAAACAGTATAGCAATATATGAGTATGTATGTCGCGTGTGAAAAAAAGCAAACAAAACACGAGCCTGATAGAACCCAACAGAAACACTTCATATTCACATCAGAATGTGCAGATATCCCCACCGATTCAATGTCCTCTCTCATGTGTCTAAGTTTTACATTGAAAATGTTTAGCCATTCATCCATATCCTCAACGCAGTTTGTGGCTGCCTCAAGCCCCTGCAGTACCTGCAGGACCCACAAATAAACAATTAAATATCCGAATATAACAGTCACCTAAACGCAGGTTACAAATCAAAAGAAAAGCATGCTATAATAAACAATGAAGAATGATGTGCTTATTATACAGGTCACCTATTTTCCGGAAGTTAACTTGCTCCATATATTTATAAAAAAAGTGGAAGCGTATTGAGCAAGCACACGACACCATTACAGTATTCTTGAGTGTGCAAAAGCAACTTAAGGATTCATATGAGAAGGAAAGACTAAAACAGGGATAGGTAGGCACACTGAGAATAGAGGAAATGTAAATACAACAGAGATTATTCTGGATAGAAGGGAATGATGGAATAGCATAAGTTAATTCACGTCGCATTCTAGTACTGCATGCAAGATGATACTAGTAGCCATGGGATGCATAATGTTACAGACAAAATTAGAAAATGAATATGAAAAAATAAGAAATATATAACAGTAAGATGAACCAGAACCATAACTTCTGGCCAAAAAAAGAAGCAGCGATATACTCATATGCCCACTTTTCTAAACTATGAAAGGGTTACCTCATCAATTAAAGGCTCACTTTCCAAAATGGCATGAACATTTGCAGCTTCCAAAGCTTGAAGTTCTCGCTTCAACCGCTCAGAAAATGCTTCTGCTTCACCAATACCCATGATATAACTGCAAATGAAACCATGCTCAAAATCTTCAGCTCGTAATCAGTCATCATTCTTGTGTTGTTCGTTCATCTTTACTCAATTAACAAAAAGGTAAGTAAAAAAATCTAGAATTCTAGTTTGACCAACCTTTTCATAATTGGATGGAACAGCTATTTTCCCAGTGCTTTACACTTGTAGAAACCGTGGTTTATTTTTTATCTACATGGATTCATTGAACTACATTTGAAGGTTTTAAGTTTCATCTGTCATAGTTTTCTTTTTAATGTCCATAATCATTGGTTCTGTTGAAGTGATTAATCAAATTCATTTGTCATGATTTTAGTCAGAAATAACAATTGGCACGATTAATTAGCTATTTAGCTGTAAGGTCTAGACTGAATCCACCTAGAAAATCATGGCTCCACCCTTGCATGCATGATGCAACAGCACTACAGTGAAGAAGGCTTAGTCAATTTTAATTTAGTCTAGTGTTTGATCTAAGTAAACCCTTGCATGTACGATGTGGGCCAGCTTGCAGGCAATAAACATTCTATTGTGTCGTACTTTCACATACCATTAGATAACACATTTAAATGGTCAAAATAAAGTAACGCTCTGCTCATTTTTCTCCATTTATTTGCTTTTGGTTGTGTAAATGTAAAACTGACCACAAGTTTTATTTCATTCACGATATTTCTCAACCATAATGTCTTAGAAAGAAAAAAAAAATGTTGCAGATTTCTATTTACTCTTTAGACACACAAGATAATCTGATTTTTGTCACATTTATACAAACATATAATTCATCTCTGAACTAGGAAAGAATAAATACATACGTGCCTAAAAGAGCCTCCATGTCCTCTTCCTCTGCTTGAGACACAAGTTCTCTTTCAACAGTCACTTTCAGGTCACTTTCGGTCACTGTAACAGCAACTGGCCAATCTCGAAGATCCCGTTGCTTAGTTATTGTGGGTGTGTTTTCCTACAGTAGGCACATATATAATAAGAATAGAAATTGTAAATAATCATCTAACAGATGTAATCAGGTTGGTAATTAAAGGAAATCAAAAATAACTCCCTACTACAATTTTTTCACAGTACACATTGAATATTAAATCAGTGGATTTTATTTCACATCGAAACCAAAAATCAACAAATAGATGATCTGTAGGACCCTTTCGTTTTTTAAATACAGTTAGTTGCTTAAATTAGAAACTTAGCATCAAAGAAAAAATTCCTATCTCACATATATGATCACTAGCGATACCCCATGACTAAAGTCACCATACACTCTGAGCTATGACACCATGTGTGTATTGGAGTGTGTATATAATGAATGTGCGTGGGTGTCTGCATGTGTGTGTGTGTGCGGCTGTGTGTTGCACTGTTGTGGAGTGTGTGTTGCGTTTGTAAATGGGGGGGGGGGGGGGGGGGGGGGG